GTCAGCGGAAGTGAGAGAAAAGTGTTTATTACGTTTGAAATATGGATATTTTTCTTACAAAAACTCATGGATTCGCTACAGGTGGCCTTTATTCATCCCCCGGAGCCATCTGCGGCACGTTTTATTATGAATGCGCGAGCTTTATTTGACGACTTGTGGACTGAAGCACTGCAACACCCGCTGACTGCAATGATAGAGCTTAGAATAGCCGGGGCAATTTTTAATATAACTCCGACTGGCTTCGTCTGAAAGAAGAAAGTCATATACACCTAGGATGCTTCGAGGGTAAGTAAAACACAAGCTAATTTTCATTTTTGGGTGAACTAACCCTTTAAAATCCGAACATCATTGGTAATGTTATTGTTTTAGTGATTATGCAAACAAAAAGTCATTTTATTTGTTGTTTGTTGATTCTTAAATATAAAACTTGGTGAAGTGATTTATGTGTCTGTAGTTTTTTAACATTTCCAGCACATTTTAACAATACCATGATAATACCGATAACCGTGATAATTTTGGTCACTGTAATCGTGATAAGAAGTTTTCATACCGTTACATCCCTATTGTATGAACACTTCTAATCCAAATATGCTGATTATGTAAATGTGTGTTTAACAAATAAAAAAAGTGAAAAATAGATACTATTTATACATGGTAGTTACCTCTAAATCCTGTAGGATTACAAAGAACATGTCCATAAACACTTTCAATTGAGCCTCTGGCTCTGACGTCTCTGTAGTGGTAAACGTAATATAATTCATTTTGGGTAAATCTAACAGGCAGTCTTTGGTCTCATTAATCTATTATTTGTTCCGGAGCAAATAGTTTTGGTTGATAACTCTATTTTTACTTTAATTATGTTTAAGAGCACTGCCTTTGCACAGCCTCAACCCACAAGAGGGATAACAGTGTTTTTCCCTGCCTAAGTCATCAGTCTATATTGCATATCTTCTTGTGACAAATGACCTTACAGTTTTTGTAACCATTCGTCTACTCCTGTGCTTTTTTCCTGTGGTGTGCCTCAGGGTTTTATTTTAAGCCCTATTTTTATTCTCACTGCATGTTGTATGAAAGTTAAAAAAAACTCAGTCTTGTCTTCGGCCTTTTTACCAGTGATTCTTCTGGGGGATTCTGAGGTCCTTCTCCAGAAATATACACACCTTTGCAAAAAAAAAAATCTTGGTGTCTTTGACTCCAAGCTTAACTGTCTGTTATATGGTATGGGTGCCAAAGTCATGTGGTCCAAAGAACATAGAGAAAAATTAAGATGAGGTACAGTCAAAGCACTTACCGTGCAGGAGATTTTGCAAAGGTTTCTTATACTGATGCATAAAGAAAGGGTTATTGGAAGTGTGTGAAAGAACAGCCTGTAGTGTGACATGATGTGCATTGCTTATCCTATTTGATTCAGTCACTTACAAGTGAGTCTTCATATCTGAACTGTACATTACAAAAGAACAAAGTCAATAAGTCTCAAATTATCAGATAAGATACAATAAGAAGATTAAGGTCAAGATAAGGTTGAAAAAATCACTCCTCAAAAAGTTTTTTACTTAGTGTTTTTTTTTTTTTACATCAACGCTGTCAAAACTATTCTTGTTCACGCAGATCCATGAAAACGACTAGACGCTGTATTATGCATGCCAGGTGGTGAAGATGTAGTTAGCGATGTGACTGTAAAGAAATACTACGAGTCTGCACACATACCTATAGATGGAACACGTAATACACATGCACAACATCACACAAATTTGCTGAGGTGATAACGTCATCGTTTTAAATACTTGCACTTTGAAACCTGTTTTCAAATGTTTTTGTTTCAGACTCCCAAAACTCCACTGTTGTGTAAATTAATAAAATGTTTACAGTTTTCAAAAAAGAAAAAACTGTTTTGTAAACACCACCTTAAAAAAAAACATTTACCTTTTTTTAAAACTTCATAATACAAACATTTCTTTATAATTGTGAATACAAAAATCTGTTTCTTGAAACTTGGCAAGTGTTTTTTGAAATAACATTTAAAAAGTATTTTTCCTTTACTTTATTGTGTACTGTTAAATGTGACTGACCCTTTACCCTCTTTATGTAAAGAGTAAAAAAAAACAACAACAACAAAAAAAACATTTTTGAGCGATTTATTAATTATAGTGTTTAAATTCATGCATCTTTGTATTTATTTATATATTTATTTATTTATTAATTATTTTAAGTTGCTCTGAGACTAATAATAAATGATAAATATACACAGACACACACACACAAGAATATAAATTTATTTATATTGCTATAGATATTCTATTATATATTTACCTATATATTGTTAGTTTGTTTCAAATAGCTCATGTTTATATTTACATGTTTATATTTTATTATGTATTAATGTATTTATATATTGTTTGTTTGTTTTTCAAATAGCTCATATATGTATACATTTATTATATATATTTATGTTCTACTATATATATTTTTATATATTATATATTATTTTTTATGAAAATAGCTTATATATATTTATACACACATATAATTTTGTTATATACATTTATTTATATTTATTATACAGTATATATTTTTTTCAAATAACTCTTATATATGTTTACTTATTATTTATATTTGTATATTATTATCTTATATACTGTAAATGTATTTATATTTATTATATATACGGTATTTGTTTGGTTGTGCTTGTTCAAATAGCTCTTATATATGTATGCATATATTTATTATAAATTTATGTTCTATTATATATATATATTCTACTATATATATTTGTTGTTTTTATATATTATATTTGTTTTTATAAAAAATAGCTCATATATAGATAGATAGATATTTTTATATTGTTTTGTTATATAAGTTTATTTATATTTTATTTTATATACATTTTTATATACTTTGTTTTTTTTTTAAATATTTTATATATCAAATATTTCTTTACTTTTATTAAATCAGAAATCAGCACTTAAATCTGTCATCTGACTACATGCCAGAAGCAGAAGTAATGTGTAAGAAAGCTAATGTCAAAATCTTAAAAATGCCAAAAACTTAATACCTTAAACCAGTTGTGGAGACTGATTTTCTCCAATTCAGTCTGCTCTTTTGGGTCGCTCTGCAGAAAACAGCAAATACAAATCAAATGAGAGACGTCTGATTATTACCTTAAACGTCACACCTGCTCTCTTGCTTTGTTCTACTTTGTAAGATCTCAGTTTACAAACTGGCCTTTGCTGAAGTGAAGATCTCACCTTGTGACAAGCCATCATTGGTCCAAATGTAATCACTGATCTTGTCCAGATCTCAAGAGCAGGATGACAATTCAGCTGGTGGCCCGACCGGTCCTCGGGTGCTCATTTTTTTCTAAATTAAACTCTTGAGGGAGGGCTTGAAGCAGCATTAGGTTCATGTTATGGCAGTCACAAAGCTTCCTGTCATTTAAATTACACTATTTTCTAAATCATAACATAAAACCAAACAAAGAAAGGCAACATATTCAAAGAAATTGGAAATATTTCAGAAGGTATAAACATACAGCGCTGAAATTTGTCATCTGACTGTATGACATTTGCAGTATGTATTGAAAGGTAGCATAAGAAAGCTAATGTCAAATTCAGCGTCAAATGTAATTAATACTTTAAACCAGTTGTGGAGACTGAGTTTGTCCGGTTCAATCCGCTGCTTTGGGTCGCTCTGCAGACAACAGCAAATACAATCGCAGCATTCTGTGCAGAAAGAAGGAAGAGACATCTGATTATTACCTTCAACTTCACACATTTTGAGGAATACTGAATACAGCATAAACCAGCAAAGGACCAGCTTAAACCAGCAAAGGACCAACATAAACCAGCAAAGGACCAGCATAAACCAGCAAAGGACCAGCATAAACCAGCAAAGGACCAGCATAAACCAGCAAAGGACCAGCATAAACCAGCAAAGGACCAGCATAAACCAGCAAAGGACCAGCATAAACCAGCAAAGGACCAGCATAAACCAGCAAAGGACCAGCATAAACCAGCAAAGGAGTGTAACTTAAGACTGGATTTGTGCTCCAGGGTCACACATATTGGCGTGTAAATGTAAGTTGTTGAGATTCAAAAATGAATTAACACGCACTTTACTGATCGCTAGCGCCTTTGTTCTCATTAAAACATCAGATGTGACTATCTATTATTTAGTAAGTGTATCTAAGAGTGTTTAATTAAAGGTTCGTTTCAGCTCTTTGTGTTATAATAGTGTTTCTGTGATCTAATGATCACATCTAGCTTCATTCGTTGAAGATCATACAAAAACATTCATTGTCATCTGTACATTAATGTCAGTAATAACAGTCAGATATTTTAAAGCGGTCTGTATTACTGTTTTCACAGTCAAACAGCACATATCTGAGAAAACAGTTGTCAAATTGTATTAGCAGTTGTGTGAGACTGCATGCACGGTTTATAACTTTAGGAATAACAGAGATACAGTAGAGCTGTAAAACATAAGTGTGTGTCTGTATACCCACCTAACCATATACTGGGGGCATATTTGTAGAAGTGAACTGCTTCTGAGAACATCCAGGGACGCCCTCATTGAACAGGATATAAATGTAAGTTTTCATTCATTCAAAGGGTGCAGAAAGTTTTCTGTTAGGGTTAGATTATAGTATTTGTAATTAGCTTTATAAAAAAACTGAAGTCTATGCAGTGTCCAGTTTAAAAAGCCAATAGACCTGTCTGGATATGAATTCAATGTTTGTGCGCAGTTATTAATGGAATGCAGTAAATAAGATACTTTTACTGATATTCCAGTAATTAATGATTTTAACATTTTTGTCGTCATTAACATACATTCCAAACCTGTAAGACTTTATTCAGGTTTTTTTTTCAATCATGCATGTTTGTATCATACTTCGGAACAACATTTCATTTTTGGATGAACTGTCCTTTTAATATTTGATTTCACTGGAATTGCTGAGAGATGGCGTTCACATATATACACAGTACATATATTATTCATATTTAAAGCGCATATTTTAATCAACTCCTGTTAAGTATTAGATGTTTGCAATATGATTAGGAATACATTTGTAGAATAATATAATACGAATACTCTAGTATACACTTTTACGTGAATTTGCAATGCAATAGGCAGTATATGAATTTAACACAAAAAATAAAGCATCTATAAAAAGTAACAAACCAGCTCTCAATTTGTTTTTAATAAAACTGCAAAACAGTCATCAGATTTACAGTACAATCTCAATTACTGAGACAATACACCGATTGCATAAAAAACCCAATGTTTTAGAGCAAGCCTCCAAACTTTTGTGCAGCCATATGCAAAATTGCTCAAAACAGACGTATTAACAGAACGATAGCTGGCTGAGACTGTGATTTAATAAAAACAAACAAATATTCCCTTTATTGTAGCCTGGCCTTTTTTTTTCCCCCACACAATTTTTTTTTGCCCCTTTGTTTCAGAAGTATGATCTGAAAAGATGTCTAAAACACACAGTGATGTACAATAAAGACAGGCAGCATTATTATGAAACAAACATCAATCAAGATTTAATCGCGAATTTCCAATTGTACGAATGCCAAATCAAATAAACTGCTTAAATAAAAATGAATGGCAATTTTTTTTTTAATCATGTTACGTTGATGCCATATCCAAACTTCATCGGCAGAAATGATGTCATAACGTAAATCAAAGAAGATTCACAGAAAATAAATTGAAATGCAGAGGAGCTGCGATAATCGTAAACATCTTAAAAATCAAACTAATAATGCCAAATGAACAGCATAACTTAAGAATGATGCACTGGAAACGATTAGCTTGCCGCTAAACATAAAACTCGCATTTCATTTTATGAAGCTAATTTACCATTAAAACTGGAGACGTAAAAGGGGAAAGCCCTATTGCACTTGGCTCTGCCAGGATTACAAATATGTAATAATAGCAACAACATTAAAACACATGAGACAAAAAACAAAGAATCGGTTAAGTATATGCACATCTGGTCCTGGAATGATGGCTTGAGGGGTGTGGGAATACTTGTTGGTGTGTGTGTGTGTTACAGACGGTGGATATCAAACACCCAGTTTGTTGGCCTGCGTCAGCACCACCTTCAGGATGGGCATGAAGGCAGACGTCTCGCTGAAGTTGCTGCTGCTCACGATGTGTGTGTGGATGTTGAGTCCGTCGGTGTAGCAGCGGCACTCGATGCTGCGGGCCATATTGTGCAGACCACCGACGATAGCTGGAGACAGCTGGAGAGAAGAGTTTGTCTCGCACTCAAAACATTGCTAAATATAATATTTAAACACCAGTTGTATTTTAAAGCTTGTGGTTAGGGGTGGGTGATATGGCAAAAATTTCATCACGATTAACTATTTTATCACGATTCTTTGTCATGTTGGTTTTACTATTTTGCAAGTTGTCTGAGCATTAAGGGCTTTTCACACTGAAAGCGAAAATTCGGCGCGAATTGAATCGAAACAATAGATCTCTATTGGGCTATTCACACCAGGCGCGATCATTTTTTCCCCGTCGCTCCGCGATGAAACGGGCCGTCCAATCAGATTTGAGCTTAGATCACGTGCCCACAGCAGCTGCTGTTGCACAAAAGGCGCGAGTGTTATGAGTCTTTACTCTCTAGATCTTCCGTGTTTAAAAAAACCGAGTCAAACATTTTTCTACACATGAAATATGAAAGCAAATAGACATATGATTATGTATGTGTTTTGTATGCAGCTCATGGTAATTTTATAACAATAAAGGATGCTTATGACAATAAGCAGTGTGGCGTTATTAAACATAGCCTACAAAGCGTGCCTATTATAGAATCAAAATCAACTATAGATCACAATCGGAAGTTATTACAAGCACTCGATGATGGTTTATAGTGGGTTTTAAGCAAAAACATTAATAAATCACATAAATGTTCAAATGTGGCTCGATGCTAATTGTACTTGTATTTATATTTTACGTTGTTTTCTTGTAAGCATTATAGATAGTTTGTGTTTCTGGCGTAGAACCAAACTTTATTTAGCTATATTTAATGCTGTATATTGAGCAGTGGACGATGTTGAATCCATATATGAGATACATATCGGAGTAAAAATGGTCGGCGCCACCTAGCGTGCATTAGCAGAAGGCGATCAATCGTTTCGTGCTCGGTGTGAAAGCAACGTTCGTCGGCGATTCGCCTCGCGCTCAGTGTGAAACGGCCTTTACAGCCAAACTAATTTCCCTATTATAAGGACAAAGCCTTTCAAGCTAACAAAACAAAGAATGGCGGATATTTAGGCCAAAGTGGGCGAAGGTAAACATCTTTATTATTTTATCTTCGTTATTAAAAAATAAAAACAAAGATACACATTACAAATACACATAATATACAAATAAAACAAACAGTGTTTTATTTTCAGGTACAATAGGTGATGTATTTAGCAGGAGCATTCAAGAAATGTAATGAACAAACATGAACAAAGATTGATTGCTATTAAAGCAACTGTATGAATTTTTTCAGTCAAGAGTAGTGAGTGATTTTTCTGTGTTTTGTGGTTTTAACATTAAAGAATAAAAATTCTGTCAGTGTTTTATTTTTATACCATCATTTACTCACTCAAAATTAGTTTTAAACCTGAGTTTCTATCTTCTGCTGAACACAAAAGATGATATTTTGAAGAACGTGGAAAACCAAGCAGTTGCTGATCCACAGAGACTTATGGTATTTTTTTCCTACTTTCAAATTCAATGTGGACCAGCAACTGTTTGGTTACCCACGTTCTTCAAAATATCTTCTTTTGTGTTCAGCACAAGAAAGAAATTAATACAGGTTTGGGATAATGTGAGTAAATAATGACAGAAATTAAATTTGGCAGCGGCTATTTACACCAAGTGCAAATAGCTATAGATTATATTTACACCATGTTAAAATAGCAAGATTTTCTGCTATTTATACTACTATCTGCACCTCAGTATTATAGTACATTATAAAACAGTACGTAATAATAATGTATTGAGTGTAAATTATTAAATGGATGCCACATTATTGGGACAATAAAGCCCTCCCTACATCAACCCTAACCCTACACGATACTTTATTTTCAACTGATTATTTCCTTCATTTTTATTGACAATAAATGCCTTTCCGATGCGATATGAGATTTGAAAAGGGAGAAAAAAAAATGTTCGGCAAAAGGCGGGTTCGAACTCAGGTCGATCGCGTCAAAAAGCACACGCCTTACCATTTACACCACGGGGACTGATGTTTCAGGAGCGTCTTTTTTCAGTGTTGACTATCCCAATCAGACGTTTGTGGGCGGCGTTAGTGTAAATAGCCTCTGCCAACAAGGCGGGCTATTTGCACTTAGGCTACGTTTACACGACAATGATGAAGTCAAAAACTGAAAAGTTTTTCACTTGCTTTTTAAAAAAAATTCACGTATACACGACAACGTTTTCAAAACGATTTGTATTTACACACATCCGCGAAAACGTCCAAAAACACTGTATTACGGCCAGTAGTTGGCGCTGTCACCTTGTTAGTAAACCGTACCTGTAGGGAAGTGACGATTATACTGTATGTTGTATATGCATCTCCGCTGTTGGTTGTAATATTGGTGAAGTAAATCCACACTTTGCTGAAGAAGCGTTAGCAACAGTGGCATGCGTTAGCAACAACAGTACCATGTACTCCGCCATTGTTGTGTATGTTTGTTCGCGCTTGCCTTTAAAATCGACACGTACTGCGCATGTCTACATACCTAACACGTACTACGCATGACGTCACCGTTTTCAAAGATTCCCGTTTTGGGTGTTTACACGGAAACGACAATGGTGGCATTTTCAAAAACTTGCACTTTAAAACCAGTTTTCAAAAATATGCGTCTTCAGTCCCCAAAACTCTGTCGTTGTGTAAACTAACTGGCAAAACGCATAAAAAGTTTCCCGTTTTTGGCTGAAAATGTTGTGTAAACTGCACCTTAGTGTAAATAGACACTCCGATTAAATTTTAGGGTGAACCATCCCTTTAATAACAGTCGGCTGCATGTTTAATACGGTCCGTTTTAAGGAGTTACACGCATCCGTTTTTCTCTCAACTGTTTATTTTAATTTTAGACATAACCAACTCTATATGTAAAACTTGTGTGTTTTGACAGTATTAGCGCAAAAGATAACTTAGTTCAGTAATCAGGTGCTGTTTGACAGGGTTTATGGTGCGCGCGCTTCAGGCATACGCGCTCAGAAAAAGCGCACATCAGAACAGCGCGCAAATGAAACGTTTAACCGGCAAGACTTTAAAGCACATGCAAATAATGTACTTTTGTGATTGCGAATAAGTGCAGTGTCCTGTGAGAGTAACTGTACCGCTGAGTTAACACTGATGTGAATTAGGGGTGCAACGGTTCAACTTACTCACGGTTCGGTTTGTATCACGGTTTTAGAGTCGCGGTTTCGGGACGGTTCGGTATCTGCTACGTTTAGGTAAAAAACTATATTGTCAAATAAAAATAAAGAAAATAAGAACAAATAATCTAACTACAAGTAACAGCACAAATGAATAAACAGTGCAAAAAGATACAAATAAAATAAACAGTGCTTTTTTACATAGGTCTAACATAGTTTTTAGGTACAGAAATTGAACAAATCAAATGTAAAATAACATTGCATATTTGACTGTATAAATTAAAGATTAATCCTTATTAAAAGTTACAAAAGTTATTAAATCAAGAGCAGTGAGAGATTTCCGTGTTGTTGCTGTTTGATTAATATTAAGAAAGTGCTGTCACTTTAAGAGAATGCACTGATCCAGTACATTCAGCCGACTATGTCTGCTAGGATACTCACCAAGATGGGCATTTTGACAATTTTTGTGTGAATTTGTCCAGTTAAACAATACAGAATTTGTATCCATCAACCGAAACATGCATTAGCCGAACTCTAACAAATCATATTACAGATGCATTGTCAGATTTAAGTTGAACCGCGGTCCTAGTGCATGCCCCGAACCGTGTGTGAAGAACCGTACGGTTCGATTTTTTACCGAGAATCGTTGCACCCCTAATGTGAATGTATGTGGCGTTGTACAGACTTGAGATCAGAACTGTAACTGATAGAATGAGTGCTGTAGCACGATACTACCATATTTCTTCAAAAGCAGATCGTCGAGACATTTTTATTTTCCACGATCAAAAATCGTCATATCGCACACCCCTACTTGTGGTATTACCACTAGATTACATGAAAGTGAGAGTTCATTCACAGTAAAATACTCACCGTTTGCTCTCTCAGCTTGTCATAGAGATACTCAAGCCTCTTATGAGCATCATCCAACTTCCTCTTGGTTTGCTGTTAGGATGAAGGGGAAAACTTGTTTACTTGGAATGCTGGGAAATTTATACAGGGATACAGACAGAAGACATTTTTTGGTAGTAGCAATAATATTTACTATGGGTAATAACTCGTATGCTGGTCAATATGCTTTTCAAAGGGAGTTTGAACAAAATAAGATGATTTGGTAAAATGAATCTTTGATGAATGAATCAATAGCTAATGTGAAATATTTGTAAACAATGTCACATATCGTTACATTTACCTCAGGAACGCCATTCAATGTCCATAGCTTATATGTTAGTTTAATAAAATAGAACTCTATAGAGACACATTTTGCTAAATATATGTACTTTATAACAACATTTTTAAACATTTAACTTTACCTGATATTGTAATTAATATATGCTTGAATAATTTTGTCACGATAATAAGTTTTTAATAGTCAATATTTAAATGTTTATATTTCAACAATGAATTGGAGTAGAAATATTATATCATTAAGAAGTTGATTATATCTTAAAATAAATAGCTATTTAATGTAATAATTCATACGGTTGTTAGTTTTAACCTTTATTCTAGTAATGTATCAACTGAAAGGATTGCCTGTACTGTTTTTGACAAGTACAGTACTGGATATATATCCAAATGAATCGCTATAGATTTCAGATCATAATCGAATCAAGAGCTAGTGAATCTGAATTGACTTGATTTGTCATGCAAATTGCAGAAAATATGAAAATGAAAACTAGAGACACACCATATAGAAACGGCATGAGAAATACATGAGCCAATATACTGTTCAGAAATTTGGGATCACCAAGACCTTTTTTTTGCTTTTTGAAAACAATGAATACTTCTATTCAACAAGGACACTACAAATTGATAAAAAATTATCAATTAAAAACAACACCACCACATGTATATCTGATATTTGAAACACTGGTGTGTTTTTGTTGGTGTTTTAATAAACAGTATTTTCTCACTAAAGATTCTAAATACAGAGTTGTAGAATTTATTTTGTAAAACCAGGTATCACATCATTATAATATTCAAGGATAAAGCCCCGTTCACACCAAGAACGATAACTATAAAGATCACGATATTAGCGTCCACACCAGCGAACGATATCGTCTGTTTATTCTAAGCGCACGCTCCTCTGCTGCTTTAAATTCTCCAGCTCGTTAAAGCAGGATTGATTCTGATTGGGTGTCAATGTTTTTATCGTTCATCAGCTGGAAAAAAATCATTCTGAAAGTGACTTCAACTATATTGTTTCTCTGTGCCTTTATCATTACAGCTGTGATGTGGACTCTTTAAAGGGGTCATATGATGCTATTTCAATTGTTCACACGCTTGAGGAATTCGGCCAATCACAACGCACTGGATAGCTGGCCAATCACAGCACACCTCGCTTTTCAGAACGATGAGCTTTGTAAAAATCGATGCGTTTCAGAAAGGCGGGGCATAGAGGAGAAACAATAATGTACAGTATGTGGAAAATAATGTTTTTTTAACCTTAAACCACATAAACACATTTCATTACACCAAATACACAAAATAATGTTCTTCTTAGCAGCATCATATGACCCCTTTAATATTGAGAACGATTTTTAGAACTATATCTTTATTGTTATCTTGATAGTTATCGTGCTTGGTGTGAACAGGCCTTAACTCATTAGCCCTTCTGAAGCCTGGCATTAATTTACTGTTTGAAACAAGTAAAGTCAATGCTATCTGCTTCCAATACTCAATAATGATTTCTGACATGCACATCCGTTTTTTGTTTTTTTGTAACTTTGGAAGACCAAGAAATCATGAAACAAGCGATTGCTTTTAATAGTGTCACTTCATTGTAAACAAACCGGGTCTGAAGCAGCAGCCAAGCATTTCTGGATCAGTCCCTCAAAAGTGGTCTTCAGAACCATGTGCTCCTCAGGGATTGGCTTCTTAGTGATCTTCTCAGTCGGTATGGTCTGAAGTGGATGAGAATAGAGTATAATATGGGTAAAACACCAAGTGTACGACCACTAATACGCTTCCGACAAACATTTATGGGTTAGCACTATAGGTTTATTGTACATAAACGAATACCTTTATGACATCTCCAATTGGCGCTCCAGGCGCACCCTCCATGTTGCCCCGAGGCATGCTGGGGTTTCTGCCCGGGGGTCCCAGTGGCTGCTGCTGGATGGGGCTGAAGGTGGCTGGGCCCACAGGCTGATCTGGACGCTGTTGTTGCGGCTGAAGGGTCTGCATGGTTTGGGCAGCAGCAGGGACCTGAGGGTCTCCTAGAGGGGCCATGATGGGTGCTGTAATGGGGGCTGGTGGAGTGAAGTTTTCTGGCATCTAGAGACAAAAAGCACAAGATGTTTTTCTGAAAGTCCAATCCACATAAGTTATGAGCAAGCAGACGATCGTCAAACTCACCTTCTTCTTTTTGGGAGCTCTGTTGAGTGCGGGAGGATCGTTCCAGCCGTTCTGAGGTCCTGCAGAGGAACAGGAGAGATCATTTCATTTTGGATTTCAATTGGCGGCAATGCATGGTCCAACCTGAAGCTAGTTTAACTCTCAGAATGGAGAGCATTGAGTTGTTAATGAATATTATATCATGCTGATTGGAAGTAGGTTCTTAAATCACAACTATTGCAGGGCTCAACAGTTAAAGATTTGTTCTGCATGCACCATTGAACGCAAGAAAACAATCAATTATATTGGACAACTAACAAAATACGCCATTTTAAAATTTAAGGCATAAGTTATTTACAGCCACAGTGACGTTTACCAAACTTACCGTGCAAATGCAGAGCAAAATGACTGCTTATGTCCTTGTATCTATTTACAGCCAATACTTCATGATTATAATATCATGATCATAAATGAGTGATTAATTCATTTTAGAATTACTTGAGAAAAACAAAATCACTGTGAAAAATTCTAGTGAATCTTGCAATTATTTATTAATAATCCAAGACGGACAATTACGGTCCTCCATGCTAGATTGTTATAACTCTCTTTATAAATTCACCTTCCAAAGACCAGGCTGAGTCTTGATTTAATCCTCCTGCAAATACATAAGGTAGCTGACGCATAACGTGTCCATCAACGTTTTTAATGCAACAGAGAGACTTTAGATTAAAACTGAAATAAACGTATGTAACTCATGCAATAAACAAGTAATAAACAGCACCAGTTCACCACTGGTAATTATTTTTAACTGAGTGTACAACTCGACTGAACACCACTTTTAATCACCTTTTTGTTTTTATTAGTTCAAAAACAGCCCCGCAAACAGCCAATCAGATTTGTTTAAATGAGTCTGCAAGTCTACCTGTAACAACTGTGTTAAAGCTATAATGAACAAGAACTACTATCTATAATATACGTATATATAGTCTAAAATATTTAGGATTTTTAATGTTTTTGAAAGAAGCCTTTTCAAACTCACCAAGGCTATATTTATTTGATCAAAAAAACTATAATATTGTGAAATATCATTACAGTTTATATTAACTGTTTTCTATATGAATATATTGTAAAATGTAATTTATTTCTGTGATCAAAGCTGTATTTTCAGCATCATTACTGCAGTCTTCAGCGTCACATGATCTTCAGAAATCATTCTGATATGCTGATTTGCTGCTCAAGAAACATTTCTGATTATTATCCATGTTGAAAACAGTCCCAATATTTTTGTGGAAACTGTCATCTGTCATACATTACCACTGACAAGCTGGAAGTGAGTTTTAATAACAACAAAAAAAATTGTCTATATATATATATATATATATATATATGTGTGTGTATGTACATTCTGTTAGATGTTAGATTGATGCAAATAACTGATCAAAAGTGACAGAATTCTTTGAAATATTATGTCTCTATTTCCAATAGATGTTTTTAAGATTCAAAATAAGAACTATTATTAAGTGAGCAGCAACGGAGCAGCAAATCAGCATATTAGAGTGATTTCTGAAGATCATGTGACACCGAAGACTGCAGTAATGATGCTGAAAATACAGCGCTGCATCACAGAAATAAATTACATTTTACAATATATTCACTTAGAAAACAGTTATTTTAAATTGTAATAACATTTCACAAAATTACTGTTTTTTTGTTTGGTGAGCAGAAAAGGCTTTTGACTGCAATATATATGAAACACCTGATGATTCTCATCAGTCACTGCTTGTATGTGTTAGATCTGGTGCTGAGTGCAGACCTGCTCTCTGGAAGGCTGGAATCAGAGCGGGTTCAGTCTGAATACCTGGAGCTCTGGCGACCGGAGGAGGAAGATAAGCCGTGGGCGACCCCGGCCCACCGTGCTGGAAAGACACGCCAGAAGAGAGAGGAGGAGGAGGAGAGAAAGGCTGGCCCTGAGGAGGCCCAGAAATCACAGGAGGAGCTGCTGGCTGAGAGGAGGCAGGGTGCATGAACTGTGGAGGATAGACAGCAGGGGCAGAGGAGGAGGATGATGAGGGTGGAGGAGGAAGAGGAGAAGCCGTAGAGGAAGAGTACTGAAGAGGCTGATAGATGCCAGGAGTCCCGGCGGCAGGCATGAACTGCTGAGCAGGAGGATAGTCTGAAGATCACGAGGAGAGGAGACAACAGGCAGTTAGTCATTCAGAGTCATTTCACAGTACAGCCGCAGTTATGAGCATGCAAACATTAATAAACAGCTCTAGTGAAATGATATGTACTGTTAACATACATCTGAGTACATACTGAGCAAAAAGTTCATGCAAAGATTTTACAGAGGCCAGCATCCGTACAAAACACCATGCATTGCTTAAGTTTACACTTGTTGGTGAACTCGTTTCTGCACCAAAATTAACCATGGTTTTACTACAAATAAAACAACTAAACTTTTCCAGGCCTGGAAATTGGGGTTTTAAAATTCCATGACTTTTCCAGGTTTTTCATGACCTGCTACTTTAAGCTCATGTAGTGAGGAAACAAAGCTTTGTCTAAGGTTTAGTGGTAAGGATGAGGAACACAGTACACTTACTCTGGTACTGCTGGGAGAACATGAAGGGAGCGGAGGCGCTCACTGGAGACTGAAGGCCAAAGACTGGAGCGGAGGACTCCACCTGAGGACAGACGAGACAGAAACCGGATTAGACTGATGAGGAGAACACAGCGTGATGCCACCAACACTAGAGATGCGCAAAACTACCTCTTTTTATACTACAATATCGCTCAAACCTTTGGGGTGACTAAGATTTCTGTCATGTTTTAAAGAAATCTCTTCTGCTCACCAAGCCTGCATTTATTTGATTAAAAACACAGTAAAAACATAATATGGCGAAATATTATTACAATGTAAAATAGCTGGTTTCTATGTGAATATATTTTAAAATGTTATTTATATCTGTGAATCAAATAAAGCAATAAGCCCCAAGAAGCCTTTGCTTCGCGTCGTACCTAACGCCCCTTAGCTGTTATAAATTCACTGTAAACCACGGCTTCACGGGGCTTACTGCTTTTATAAAACACGGTTATTCCGTATACGTAGTAAGGTTTCACAAAATAAAGCAGAGCAAATAAAGTGTACTGATAATAAAAACAGTATTCTTCCACCAAACAATGTAGCTCCTCAGAAACAGTTGTGGTTGCTACAAAGTGTATAAGCTGAATTTTACATTCAATGTCACATGATCTTCAGAAATCATTCTAATATGCTGCTCAAGAAACATTTCTGATTATTATCAATGTTGAAAACAGTCGTGCTGCCCGATATTTTTGTGGAAACCGTGATACATTGGATTCTCTTTTAGGATTCCTTGATGGAAAATTTCAAAAAGAAATCTTTTGTAACATTGTCAGAAGTGGCAGTAAAGGCATTTTATAGTTTATTTCTGGCAATACTTATTAATACTCTTTAAATTCTTCAAAAACTTACTGGAATTTATTGAAATCAGCCAATTCTGATATTAGAAGACAACTACATATTTTTTTTGTTTTTTTGAAAGTAACGTGGTTTGGAAACAACTCCAACTCTAAAGCATAGAACACCATGATTTAAAAACTAATATTGTGAAATATTATTGCAATTTAAAATAACTGTTTTCTATGTGAATATATTGTAAAATGTCATTTATTTCTGTGATCAAAGCTGTATTTTCAGCATCATTACTCCAGTCTTCAGTGTCTTCAGAAATCATAATATTTTGCTGATTTATGATCAATGTTGGAAACAGTTGCGCAGCTTAATATTTTTTTATAACCTGTGATATTGTTTTCAGGATTTTTTGATGAATAGAAAGTTTAAAAACGAACAGCATTTATTTAAAATAGAAATCTTTTGTGACAATAATATACACTAGTTTTCCAAAGTTTGGGGACAGTAAATTCTTTTCCTTCTTTTAATTTGAATGAAATTAATACTTTTATTCAGCAAGGATGTATTAAATGTAAGTGATAGTAAAGACTTACATTGTTAGGAAAGATTTATATTTTGAATAAAAGCTGAACTTTTTATTCAAAGAAAAAGTATCAAGTTATTAAAAAAAAATATTAAGCACTCATCAGTCCTCTCTGTATTTTTCTACAACTGTTTCCAACATTGATAATAAATCAATGATTTTGATTTGAGCATGATCTCAGAATGATTTTTTGCTGAAATTTCAGCTTTGATCACAGCAATAAATTACATTTTAAAGTATCTAAAAATAGAAACCCATTATTTTACATTGTAATAATATTTCACAATATTAAAATCATACTGATCCCAAACTTTTGAACAGCAATGGGTGTATATATAGAGACGAGTCTGCAGGTGTGAATCTTGTTTCTCAGTTTAGAAAAGCAAACAAATATGTGTCTAGAGTTTAACGCACTTATAATGGAAGTCGCTGGAGTAAACTAGAAAAGATACATTACTGTTCAGACCCAAATATGGAGCAAAGCCCACTAGAGATCGACCAAAGAACCAAAAAAGGCAGAGTATGGTATTAAATGAGCGGTTTAGAGACCCAGCAGGTTTTGCTCATGCGCTGTGTGTCTGTCTCGGCTCTGTGGGTCTGTACCTGCGGGTCAGCGCCAGGCACGAGCGGGCGAGGGACACTGGGCAGAGCTGTAGGGGTTTGGTTACTCCAGGACGTGACAGTAGAGGCGGATCTACCCTGAACACAACACAAACACAAACACACGCTGGTATCGGCCGCTGGTGCTTTCCTCGCCGGGTGTGAGCGTGTCTCGTACCTGTGGGTAATACTGAGTGTGTGCGGCGGGCTGCGCGGGGACCTGTGGAGGTTGAGGTTGTGTGTATGTCTGCACTGGAACAGCGGCGGGAAGCGTCTGCCTCACTCCAGACTGCTGCTGCTGACCCAGAGCTCTGCTCAGACGATCACGCAACTGATGCACAGCAACCTACAGACAAATACAAATCATCAGACGCACAGAGCTGCCATTAAACAACTATACAATGCGGTCTCACTTTACATTAGGTGTCCTTAACTACTATGTTCATATGTAGTTACCGTGTTCATATTGTATTGCATAACACTTCTGCTGCTATTGAGGTGGGATAGGGTCAAGGTTAGGGACAGGTTTGATGGTATGGGGGGGAGGGGGTTGGTGATTGGGTTTGTGTGTGGTTTTAAGGAGGGTTATATCATATCCAAACTCAAAATATGTCATTTCCATAGCTAAAATACATATTTTACAGTCACTATTATGCAGATTGATCATAAACAGAGCTAAAAGGCATCTTACCAGTGGCAATCCTTCACAAAACTAATATCTACCACAGCTTATCATGGGTAGAATGCCAAATGTTTTAATGTTACAAGCATTTCAGTCAAATGAAAATGAAATCCCGGCCTTATTTTTAGGTCTAAAAAGAGGACAGTGTCATTATAAATGTAATTACAGAAATGCATTACAGATGTAATTATATGCAGGTATTTTTTAAGTACAATGTAAAAACATGTACGTACACAATAAGTGCATTGTTTCATAGTAGTTAAGGCCACCTAATATAAAGTGGGACCAAAATTGCAAATAGCAACAAACTGAGATTTGTGTGTTTGTGTAGTTCAAACAGTGCATGAGAGGTTTTGTTTGTGAGACTCCTTTCAATGTTTACAATTTTCAGGAATTCTTATTATCATTGTTATTAAAGTGAACAATAAATTAATAGATTAGTAAGATTAATATAACAAAATGCATGCCGAATACTCAAAATCCCTTTGCAGCTGGCCTATTTTTAATTATTAACTAATTATTAATAATTAATAGCTAATTATTAATACTTTTTTAATGTTTTATTTTTATTTAAAAAATAAATAAACTTAGGAAATGCACTTGTATTTGGATTTTACCATTTAAACATTTTCAGGTCCAAAATATTTACGAATCTCTCATAACTTGTGAGACAAACGTCACAAAATTACTCTCAAAAAATTTATTCTTTAGGAAACTTAAAGGGGTGGTTCACTTTTTTTTTCTAGGCTTGATTGTGTTTATGGGGTGCAGTCTAACATGAGTTAATGCTTCGTTTGTTAAAAAACGCATTATTTTTAACAATTTACCTTTATTCCACACCGTTCTGTCCCTTCTCTGAGAAACGGGCTGATCTTTTCCTGTTTTTATGAAGCCCCGCCCTCAGAAATAGGCGATGGGCTCTGATTGGTTAGCTAGCCCTGTGTGTTGTGATTGGCTAAACCACCTCTAGTGCACGTCTAAATGTCCCGCCCCTCACCTCAGCGGCATGTGCTCTGGTTGTATTGTAAACAACGGCATCGTTAATATCGCTTATCAGTTTGAGCCCGATTGAGAAGCAGAGGATATTATAGAAGAGGTTCGTGCAGAACCTCTTTAATGGTAGGCCTATGTCTTTGTTTGTTGTTGTCTCATACTTCAAGATATGCTGTTATGTGTAAATGCTGTTAGCTTTCAATATACGGTTTTATCCTGATTAAAGTACGCCAACCGCATGTTTAATGCTTCTCATAGCTATGTGAAAATAAGTGTATAATTGGAACAGTTCATTGTTGGAGCTGAGCTGAATGAGAGAGAGAGAGAGAGAGAGAAAGAGAGAGAGAGAGATGCAGAGCGTGTGCAGAGCAGGGGACGTGAGGAACAGTATTGAGAACCGCTGCTTTAGAACACTGATTTTGAAACTTGTGAATCCATTAGAATCATTAGAAGACAGAATCGCGATTCATATATGAATAGATTGTTACGTGCACCTCTAGTTTTCTCTTCCTCTTCTCTAAAGCAGCGCAGCTTGGCCCTTTGCTGCCTTTTCCCGAGGGTGGGGTTTATCGGGGTTTATGACGTCACGAACCCGGGAAGTAACTCGTTGTAGTCCCTACCAGCCATTTTTGTAGGCATTAAACTGACAGAATTTTAAAAGACGATATCGCCGTTTGCATTGAACGTTCAGCTTCGCAACTTTGCAGATATTGTTTATGCTCAAACAGCAACATTACACACTAACGTTAAAAAACTGAAATCGCAATCAACCACCCCTTTAATAAACCTCATAAAAGTGCATTCACATCAAGATTGCTTAATTTTATAATTGTTAATAAAATCTTTGTAATAGATTTTGAATATTTAGTCAATGCAGTGTTATTTTTGTAATATTGATATGCTACTCTAGTATTTATTAATACTTTGAATTAGCTTTTATTTTTATATTTTAATTTACATTTAAATTTTAGTTAAACTTTAGTATTTTTAGTTATATAACTTTGCTTTTTATTTTTACTTCAGTTCTAGCTTTAGTAATTTTAGTACTTCAACTTAAACTTACTTTATTTCAGTTAGTTACCAAGGCAGCACTTCATAAACATTTTTCATCTAATATTTATATTTTATTTAGGGCTGCCCCCCAATAGTCGACTAATCGTTAGTTGACCAGAAGAGGCTTGGTCGACCAAAATTGTATTAGTCGCAGAAAAACTAAATAAATAAATAAATTCCACGGGCGAAGTCACGCAGTCTGTGACGGACAGATCGTTAACGGCTAGTCTATGGTAATACAGTACATCGGGCAGGACATCCAAACGCTCGCCTACCATTCATCGACCTCAGATATGGCTTATCATCTGAAATATGTAAGTAGCAGCAACTTGTGTGGAGTGTGAAGTGTGCGCTCACTGCAGGACAGATGGAGGTGCCAGTGCGCTCACTTGCTCCTAAAATACTCTGTCATGTTTGGTCATACAGATAAGAGTAATACATCTTTCGAATCTGTAAAGACTATGTTTATTTGTGTGCACTCACAATAACAACAAATCGCACTTTTGATAAATAATGAAAGCAAACATGATGCGCTTTCTGTCGTCTCGGTCTCTGTGAACTTGAGCACGAAACTCAAGAGTATATCTTTGCCTTACAGACATGAAAAATATATCTAGATCTATGGAGAGTGAAATGTCTACTTTTAAATGAACCAATTCAAATGGAAAACAAATATTCTCAAATTATGTAATTCGTATGAAACATGTATACAGGTGCATCACTACTGCGGAGATGACGAGTCAGTGTTGCCGACTTCATCTCTTAAACCGAAAACTAAGAAAGCACTAGTTTAATAAATTATTAAAATGTTAATGCAGTCTCCTTACTGTTTTTCCCCGACACACTCATAATCATAGCTTCTGCCGGTGCGCTGTGGGAAGCTTTATTCGTGCACTTGAGCGCTTATTAGGCTATGTAGGCAGCTAAAGTCTCATAATAATGATTTAAACGGTTTATTAATAAACGTGCGATTAGTCAACTAATGCTTAAAATAAACGACTACTAGTCGACCAGAAAAATCCGTAGTCGAGGGCAGCCCTAATTTTATTTCAACTTATTTAAATGAACAAAAACTATTTTCTAATAATTTTAGTTGTAGTTTTAATTGACAATAACAACACTGACCCAAACCAGCAAAGGCTGAAATCCTTGTTTTAGAGCAATTACTGCATTTTACACAAGACGCGCATTGCCTTGTTATCCAGGATGCATCAGGAGGCATTAGTATTTATCCTAAAAGTGCAGTCACATGTGCAATCGGCTCATTTTAGACCATGTTTTTAGTGCTCGCCACTATTATAATTTGATATAGAGCTCTAGAGGAAATAATTCAACACACTATTTTTCCAAAAGCAATAGCAGTTCACCATGTGGTAAACTTTCTCTTGTGTGTCCATCTACCAACTTAAGGCACAATTTCTGACGGTCACCTGTTGAGTGTTGGTGGGCAGGTAGGATATGGCTGTCTGTAAGCTGCCCTGTGATGCCAGCAGACTGGCGTACTGATTCATCTTCTCTGCCAGCAGTGCACCCATATCAGGAGAAACACCACCCTGAGCTCTCAGCACAGCTCTCTGCAGGACCACCACCTTCTCAACCAGCTCCTAACAAACAACAACACAGTTACAACAATCCAGTAGTTCATACTTCAATGCTCATATTGTGTTCATATAAAAACACCAAATCACAATCAAGTTCAATAAAAACAGGTCTTGCTGGAAACACGATGGACTGCAGTCCTGGGTCAGTGGGTTTCTGGAGCCTCACCTGCAGTGCCAGCGGGCTGCAGGAGTCCTGAGCTTTGGCCCAGTAGGCAACCAGCTGCTCTACCGTGCCTGCGCAGATGTAGCAGAGACAGGCCTGAGCCTGCAGTGCCGTGTCCTCAGCAGCCTCCAGCCTGGAGCCCAGCAGACCTGCAGGAGAGAACCAAACATTCATGCTAGGGCTGGCCGATTTTTCTGATTTTATTGATGAATTCGAATTTCATGTTTTGCCACGATTAAATTTTTTAGAAATCAAAGAATCGCTTTTGAATAGAAATATCACCAAATGTTAGAATTAGGCACTTCGACAATATGCCAATCATAACAGTAAAGAGAAAAGAACGATCCGACCGCATGTCGGTGCACGTGATTAACCGCTCACGTGTGATGTGCTCTGTGAAGGACCACAAGTAGAATATTGGCGCTATTTACACAGAATGCGGTTTTGTGACAGATGCGACGTGGCAGTGGAATAGGAAAAAATGCAAGAATATGGGAGTCGAATTTCTTTTAACTTGAGCGCTGCGTTTTTAAAATGCCGTTTCATGCATGAGATGCTGCAAGAGATACGAGCGCAACAGTCAAACACATCCATGTTCACATAGAAAAACAATGGAAAAGCAGCACAAGCGAATAAGAAACCTGTAGGCTTACTGCTACTGTATGTTTGATATTTCATGCTTGCATCATGGTGACAGACTGAAAGCTGCTGTTGTTTTTACAGAACATTTATAGTTAATGATAGTCTACTGGTGTTATACCTTCAGGCATTTTGAATTTGAATTATCTTGACTTTTGAGATTATTATTATTCTTATTATTTCTGAACATACGTATAAGGCAAGTTTGTACGAGATGTAGTTCATGCATCTTATCTGCAAAGATAAATAATGTCAAATACATGATTTGTTTAACATTTACATCATGTAATCATGTGTGCTGCACTTGGAATAGAATTTTCTTTAACTAGAGGGTTAAAGAAAAATTACTTGAATCATGGTGGAGTTACATTTTCAAGTTGACTAGTTAAAATCATAAATTGAGAATTTGTCAAAAGTTGTGAAAAAAAAAGGAAAAAAAAAGACAGATGTTAATTTTTTGCCATATCGCCTAGCCCTAATTCATGCACATAACTACCCTTGAAAAATTGAAATGGAGTAATAAAAAACAGGGCTGGGCAATGTAGTAAGCAAAAATATATATTATAGGGGTGTAACAGTACAGGTATTCGAACCGAAAATTTTTGATTCGATACATATGTACTGAACAAATACAGCATTGTTTTAACCACTGCACGTGCAGAACTTAATGTATAACTTCCAGTTTTATATATTGTTACTTTCTATAAGAAACAAAGCCTCATCTTTTTAACTGTGTCCATTTTTTCAGGAAATTCAAATGATAAATGCCATTTTGGCAAGTTTTTGATGTAGAGTGTTTCTCTTTACTACTAGTTATAGCATGAAATAAATGTGAATGAACATCTCATGCCTCATGTAATCGCTCAGTCAGTGTTTTAATCATGGAAAAACGTCAGTAAAACAGTTTGCAAATTAAATGTCATATAGCATTACATTTCCCTCATCGGTGTCCACAGCTCGTTTGTTCAGTAGAGAAGAGCAATTTGCTAAATATATCCACTATATTAGCCTACATATTCATTATAGTTTACTTAAGCTGTTAGTGATGTCTTAATTATTTAATATATGTTTAAATTAATCTGTCATGAAAACAGGTGACAGTCATTGTGTAAATGATTACATTTCAATATGTATATTGGAATATGCATATATGTTAATGTAAAAACTGCCTTATGTCCAATTTACATGTTTGCATACAATTTTTACTTAAGTGTTGAGTATTATATCTAAATAAATAAAAACTAAATTTAATAGTTTGGGCTCAGTTGTTAATTGTAACCTTTAATATTAAAGTAATTTGCAAGAAATAGGGCTCCTATATAGGTTAGCGCATTAGCTGAGGTTGATTTTTATCCATTAATTATAACTGAATTTATTTAAAGACAGAGCAACATTTTGTTCTGTGAACCACTGTTTACTTGCATCTGATGTCTTTCTGAACTGTTTATGTTCACTTCTCTTTAACACTGGCCCCCGGCCATCGGGCAGTCCTTATCACTGAGAACATTAAAATATTCAGTTTTCCTCCAGTATTAATTAAGTTGTTAGTGTAGCCTGCAGAAGAGATTCTGTACACTCGACTCACCACAGAGTGAGGAGAACTCCTCTGGCTTTGCATAAGTCATTACTGCAGCCAGAGCTTCCTTCCAGTTCTGCAGGTCACATGTCTCCAAAATGTCCAACCAGTCCTTCATCACCACAGCGCTAATGAGCTAAAATACATTGAGATCCGACATCAGAGCTACTAGAGTAAATGTCAAGACATGCAATTCAACACATCAACAACAAATTATATCTATACCTATAAAAAAAAAAAAAGGAAATGGGTTTGGTTCTTAGTTGGGTCCAAATAAAAAAAAAGACACATATGTGACCCTGGAGCACAAAACCAGTCATAAGTCGCTGGAGTATATTTGTATCAATAGCCAAAAATACACTGTATGGGTCAAAATTATTGATTTTTCTTTTATGCCAAAAATCATTAGGACATTAAGTAAAGATCATGTTCCATGAAGATATTTAGTAAATTTCCTACCGTAAATATATAAAAACTTAATTTTTGATTAGTAATATGCATTGCTAAGAACTTAATTTGGACAACTTTAAAGATGATTTTCACAATATTTAGATTTTTTGCACCCTCAGATTCCAGATTTTCAAATAGTTGTATCTCAGTCCTATCCTAACAAACCATACATCAATGAAAAGCTTATTTATTCAGATGATGTATACATCTCAATTTTGAAAAATTTACCCATATGACTGGTTTTTGTTGTCCAGGGTCACAAATATAAGAGAAGGACAGATCTCTCATTTTTAATAACTCCCATAACAGAAGACACAGTATTAGAAGCATGTCTACTGTGATGCTACATGACCTCACCTTAGAGATTTTGCTTTGAGTTTTGCTGAAGTATTTAAAGACAGAGCAACATTTTGTTCTGTAAACCACTGTTTACTTGCATCTGATGTCTTTCTGAACTGTTTATGTTCACTTCTCTTTAACACTGGCCCCCGGCCATCGGGCAGTCCTTATCACTGAGAACATTAAAATATTCAGTTTTCATCCAGTATTAATTAAGTTGTTAGTGTAGCCTGCAGAAGAGATTCTGTACACTCGACTCACCACAGAGTGAGGAGAACTCCTCTGGCTTTGCATAAGTCATTACTGCAGCCAGAGCTTCCTTCCAGTTCTGCAGGTCACATGTCTCCAAAATGTCCAACCAGTCCTTCATCACCACAGCGCTAATGAGCTAAAATACATTGAGATCCGACATCAGAGCTACTAGAGTAAATGTCAAGACATGCAATTCAACACATCAACAACAAATTATATCTATACCTATAAAAAAAAAAAAAGGAAATGGGTTTGGTTCTTAGTTGGGTCCAAATAAAAAAAAAGACACATATGTGACCCTGGAGCACAAAACCAGTCATAAGTCGCTGGAGTATATTTGTAGCAATAGCCAAAAATACACTGTATGGGTCAAAATTATTGATTTTTCTTTTATGCCAAAAATCATTAGGACATTAAGTAAAGATCATGTTCCATGAAGATATTTAGTAAATTTCCTACCGTAAATATATCAAAACTTAATTTTTGATTAGTAATATGCATTGCTAAGAACTTAATTTGGACAACTTTAAAGATGATTTTCACAATATTTAGATTTTTTGCACCCTCAGATTCCAGATTTTCAAATAGTTGTATCTCAGTCCTATCCTAACAAACCATACATCAATGAAAAGCTTATTTATTCAGATGATGTATACATCTCAATTTTGAAAAATTTACCCATATGACTGGTTTTTGTTGTCCAGGGTCACAAATATAAGAGAAGGACAGATCTCTCATTTTTAATAACTCCCATAACAGAAGACACAGTATTAGAAGCATGTCTACTGTGATGCTACATGACCTCACCTTAGAGATTTTGCTTTGAGTTTTGCTGAAGTATTTCTTCTGAGTCTTTGCCAGAAGCTCGGGACCTCCAGCAATAGCCAGGATGATGCCGTCAGCCATTCGGTTATCATGCAGACAGAGGTTAACAGCGGCTTCGTAATCGCCAGTCAGCAGTGCCTGGGTGATCAGTCCATCAACGTCTGAAAGAAAAAGCAAGCATGAAGTCATTAGTATAAATGTAACTTCCTTTAGATGAACTTGACCCCCAATTGTATTTGCTCCATCAATGTTCGTTATATCAGTGAAGGTTATGTGATGAACATTCGAAAGGAAACTTGCCCTGGCTGACTTTGAGGTTAACGGTATCTGAAGTAGGAGCTGGAGTAATGTCTGTGTTGGACGTCTCCTCAGCAGCAGGTTCTTCATCTTCAGAAGGAATCTCGTCTAGGTCCGATGTCTCAGCGGCAGGCGGCTCTTCTTCTTCTTCCTCGACAGTGCTTTTCTTCTCAACCTTGATAAGAAAAATATATATGGAAATGACAAACATGAGCATTTGCTTCCTCTTCCTTGTTAATTTCAACCACTTGATATTCCACAGAATTCAAAAAATGTTGAATGTCATTTTAAAAGCAAAAAACTAAATGTTTTGAACAATACGGCTCAACTCCAAGTTGCAAACACTCAAAAACAATAAGTACACCAATAACCAGAGTAAGAAATGACTTGGATTAAGATCGGACTAAATTGCTTTAATGCCTTTTTTTGCCGTTTTTACTACCTTTTTAAAATCGCCATTCATATGCATCCCAACCCAGAACACAAAATACTCAATTCAAATAGGCCTCTTTGTTGTCATTATATTTCTTCTTGCTTCAGTTGTGAAATGTTCTCATTTGTATCCATAATTTCTCAGAAACACAACTAAAATGCCTCTATACTGGTGTTCAAACTATTAATAAAATGCATGATGTTCATGTCTTGTAAAACTGTAAGCAAATCTCCGTCTCTGAGATGCATAGAAGTGTATTTATTTTCCATTTCGCCATGTTTCCAAATTGCTTAAACGTATCACCAGAGACTGTTGCTCCACCGTTAGATCGAGTTACAACAATATGATTAAGAATTAAGAGTTCAATTAAAAAATTAAAAAACAATTTACCGACTTCTACAATCATACAATCTTCTACAACCCCATTCCTTTCTTACAATTACCTGCGAGAAATGCGTTATCACGATAATGATTAAAAAAACCGTGTTACGGTAAAAAACAAAGATGTGTTCAGCTAACAAACACCTATGTGAAGCAACAAGATATCAACAGAAAAAATAACAATCTTGCAATGCCCAAATGGCTACATTTGTGACCTATGCTGGCAAAATGAGTCACAATGAGCAAGTTTTCAAAACGTGGTTATTTTTATTTTTACATTCTCTATTAAAAGAATGAAAAATTAGTTGGAATCGGATGAAAAATGACTGAGCTACACCTGTGTGAAGTCAGCAAAGTAAATTCAGAGAAAAACTGATTTCAAGTTTTCTGAAGATTCCAAAGCAAAATCACCCAGCAACATATTACATTTTTCCCCCCACTTCTTTTCTTAATAATCATTACTAGATTAATAATCACAATATAGCTGTTTTTTATTTAAAAATTTGTTGTTATAAATAAGCATTAAAATAAGAACAAATAGTAAAATGTAAAAATCACTTAAGTGTGTTCATTAAAAATAAATAGATTATTAAAACTACAAAAGCCGTTCAATCAAGCAGCGAGTGATTCCCTCTTTTCTTTTATTGTTTGATTAACATTAATGAGTCAGATGGCCTATATTAAGACTAATATAATGACTAATATCTAATATAATGTTACACATCTGATGTTTCACATCCAAACGGTCACTTAAGTTATAACAGATTGTGTTTGCGTGACTACTTTAATATATTTAGCCTACTGTAAATCTGTGTATGTGTGTATCGAGATGTCTGTTGTCTTTATGTGTACGCTTCGGATGAGAGGCAGCGCGAGAAGCGAGCAGAGAAAAGCTACTCCTCTCAGAAACCAAACAAATGAAGATTAGATGATTATTAGATGTTTAATCACTGTTTGGATCACTGGGATCGCTAGACAAGGGCTTAACATGCTCATTTTTGGGAAAACCTCAAATTCGACCAAAATTGACATTTTTCGCTTTTTTTTGCCCGTAGCTCGAAATTAGCCCGTTCACATTTTGACTAATTTCGCCAGAATGGGTCACATTTGTTAGTCAACTACCAGCTGTTTTGGTAAAATTCTATGTTATGTACACCACAATTCCTAAGGTGGTAGAAAAAGTGCATGCATTTTACCGCAAGACTACACCTCCTACATTTCAAGGCTTGGTTGAAGTTAGTTGCAACACTCAAAAATCTACCACAAAAAAGCTACCATTCCAGCATTCCTGTGTGAGATTTCAGAGAGTAGTTTATTTCTCCCTCTGCCTTGTCAAGTTTAATTAATTCAATTCCAATAATATTTTGCACGGTTAAGAGGTAATTCTATCACACAGGGATGCAGCAACAGGAGGCTCTAGCAGGGGCAAGGTACCTCCTCCAGTGTCGCTGCCTCTGTTGCCCTGGATTTATTTGGGTCAGCACAACCAGAAACCTCTTCGACATGTAGCACAGGCCGGCAATCACTGGTACTCAGAAGATCAGTCTCAGAAACAGGATGCTGCGTCATCAAATCAAATTTTGGTGCAAGGATTCTCTTTTATGTTAACCAGGTCACATTATTTCAACATTTTCAAACACTTTTTAAAGAAAACTAATGAGTACGGTCTTCATCTCATGTGAGTGAACACCATTTAGATGGCTCTTGAATTTATTTATTAAGGTATTTATAAGCACCAAACTACTGAATGCTCATTTAATGTTAGTTGCATACGTCATGAATAGTTCAGCCATGAAACTCTACTCGCGTTCTAATTGGTTCATTCAATTCAATGTTCCCAGCCAATCGGATTCACATACTCATTACTGTTTACCTATATAACCAGGACATATTCAATGAATGCTGCGCTCTATGAATGTCCTCATGTTAGCCCACTACCTCCCCAGCACCACCTGCCTAGATCTGCTACGGGCAGCAGCATGTTTCCTTTTCATTTTATGATCTGAGCATTTAGTAGAAGCAAGTCTACTTGCTCTGCAGCAGCAGCAGCGTAGCAGATCTAGTCCGCCCAGACCAAACCTATGCACATTTTATTTACATTAATAAAGATTTTATAATTTAATCCCGAAAGTTGTCATTCAATTTATGTAATTCTTAAGAGAGCATATAAAAACGGCAAGGATCGGCTAAACATTACCAGTTCTGACTGGTTGGCTACTAAGCAACTGCTAGGGGTCAGGGTGCAGGTTGCAAGCTTTTATCAGTTTGCCGAGTCACAAAATGTTGTTCACAAGTTACTAGGTTTCTACAATGAGTGTTTTAGAATTCAAAAAAAAAAAAATGCATTTGCCAGAAATTTGCCAATCATGCACTAAAAGATTTACATTTACATTTAGTCATTTTGCAGATGAGATTTCAGTTAAAGAATTCAAGGGTTGATTTTGAGGTAATTGTTAGTACAACTATTTTTTTCCACTTTGTTTGGTTTATCAATTAGAAAAAGAATTGAGCTGCTGAAAGTTTTATTTATGCAAGTATCTTCTCCTCGAGAAAAAAAAAGAAAATTTTCACTTCCCCTTACTTACAGGGAAGTACATGAGGAGGAGCAAAAGAAAGTCATTCATTCATTCGATTCATTCAAACAATATTCATTCAAACAGCTGATTCATTCAGGAATGAAGTAAAGGGTTCTCTGTATGAATGGGCCATTTAATTATTGGTTCAACCGATTCAATCAAAACGCCGATCCATTAAGAAATGAATCACCGCTGTGTGCTGCTCGGAACTGCATAGCAGTTCTGCTGTGGCTTTATAGTTGAAAATTGAGCTAAATCAGATAATACTGTGCCACCGATAAATTGTATGACATGTAAGATAACCTGCACAGGTCTGGGGTGGGTGCATTACATGCTTGAATAATTTTTGATGCATTATTTTTCATAACTAGTTCATTAATTTTACACATTAAATCAACAGCCCTAGTAATAACATGATACTATGTCATTAGTAAAATACACCAAGTTTTTATGCATTATTAAAAGTTAACTATTATAATTAGCAAACGTTTAATAAAATCAAGGCAAAAGTGAATAACTGCACAAACCCTGTTGCTGTGGTCGCTGACTTTGATGATCAGGTCGTTCTTTCTCAGATCCCAGACCGAAGCTTTTCCGCTGGGACTGGCCGAGGCCAGGATGTGCTGCACCTGTTTGTTCCACGCAACACAGCTGATGTCCTCTAGGGGCTAAAAGCAACAACAAAGTCAGCATTAGACAAGATTGCTTACTGTCCCAGGACAGTCTCAAGTCATGGGCTCCTTTTTCAAGTCTATGGGATTTTTGGGGCAGTTTTTCCATCCACCAGGCAAAAATCTGCTCTCAACCTTCTTCCTCCAAGGACCCCCATTAATGTCCACAACAATGTTCAAAGTAGTGGTCGACCGATATTGGTTTTTTGACAGCCGATGCCGATATAATTTTATTTATTTTAATTGATAATTAAGAAATTTGAAATCATTTGAAAATAGATTAAAAAAATAATTGTTAAATAAATATACTTAAACTTTAGATGACAAAGTATATCACAATAAATAAATATTCAATAAAAATCTAATTAAAAAGGAAGTAAACACTGTAACCACCAGAGCACCGACCATCACACAGAGAACACGCGATCATGCAGGATACAAATGCACCCTTCACAAGATCTCAACTAGATTCGACTAAGTCTGCAAGGTTTGTGAAATTAAATGTTCATTAGTCATTCAAAGATTTGTTTAAATTATATAAATGCGTATTTGCTTAATGCTGACGGCAAACAAGAAAGTATTATAATGTTTGCCTTTCTATTACCAATAATATAAAAGCAATCGTTATAATACTTTTTGTATACATTTTAATTTCTTTGTTTAACCGTTCTATTTGATTATTACACAGACTTCTATCCGTATTAGACAGAACAACAGCGAACAAGAGGGAGAGAATGTGAGCACTGTGTGCTCAGGCGCTGCTGTTCTCAGCGCCGTCAAAAAAAAAAAAAATTCCCGCCTCAAACGCATTGGCCAAACAGAAAAACTTATCAGCCGATGCAGATATTTGAAAAATGCCAAATATCGGCCGATATATCGGTCGACCACTAGTTCAAAGTCCCCCAAGTAAACTAACAGGTTTCCCGTGGTACATCTGCTGTAATGTTTTGTCTTGCAAACTTTTTTCTTTGCTCTTTAATTTACATAAACGAGTGTCCATTGATTAAAATAAGTAACCAAATAAATTATAATTGAAAATAAAATAAGCTTCAGAATTCCAGAAGTTTTAAGAACTAAATGTTCTTCAGTGATCCCACTCTTTTTAAAGATTAAGTCCACTTCCAGAATAAAAATGTCCTGATAATTTACTCACCCCCATGTCATCCAAGATGTTCATGTCTTTCTTTCTTCAGTCCCAAAGAAATGAAGTTTTTTGAGGAAAACATTCCATATCTTTTCTAGGGAAACTGCATTTCGACGTTCAAATCGCTGGCCACCGTTGAAGTCCACTTTATGGAGAAAAGTCCTGGAATGTTTTCCTCAAAAAACTTCATTTCTTTGGGACTGAAGAACTTACAATCTTGGATGACATGGGGGTGAGTACATTTTTATTCTGGAAGTGGACTTAGCCTTTAACCAATGAATTTTAAGTGACTTTTACACTCGTTCATGATTTACTGGATAAGGATTTATGGAAATATTTTTTACTCACAAGAAGTTTAAAAGGTGTGAATTCAAATAAGAAACATCTTGATTTTTAGTGAAGTTTCAGCTTATTTTAAAATATTTTAATTCATCTTGTGCCTTCCCATGAAAACCCTACTAATGACATTCGTAAAAACATTTATCAGAAATCAAGAGCAAAACGAGACCTCCTTCTTGAATGCACATGAGATCGGTACCTGTGTTTTGGGTCCTGGCGTCATTGGGGAGCTTAAGTTGTTCAAATCCCAAATGTAGATTTCTGACTCATTTCCCCCAGAGGCCACAAGGTTTGTCTAAAGAAAAAAAAGAGAGAGAGAGAGAGTCATGTACACTGATCATAACTCCACTTAACTGACATGGACAAATAACAATTCTTGCACAAACTGACCATGGAATAAGAACATGGTTTGGGTAATTACCTGAGACGAGTTGACGTCGAGAGCTCTTACTGGTCCCGTGTGTTTCTCGCTCTGGGAAATGATCACTTCACTGTCTCCAGCAATGATTTTGGAGGCGTCATAGAGGATGATGTTGCCGTTCTCTCCTCCAGCGATCAGGACACCTGATGGCAAACTCTGGTCTTCAATGCCATGTGGACCCCAGACTAGTTTGTGGTATCTACAGACAGAACAGAAAGCTTACACCTGGGGTTCAAAATTAACACTTGAGTACAAGATGAGAGCAAAACTGACTTTGGTAAATGACTAAAACAAAGTCATTCACCAAATTGCAATAGAAATTGCATCATTAAATGGTTTATATTGATTTATTTGATCATTTAGGAATTATATTCCCTTGCTATTGTAACAAAAATCTAAAGAAAACATCTGCCGTGATTTATTTGGCAGTTTATCCAAGTACATTTTTGTCCTCAGAACTCGAAGGATCAAGCCACCAAAATGAATATATATTACGACCTGCCCTTTTCCTGTTTTCATTTTATGGACCCTGATTTCACCACTGTTTTATAAGAACAGCTCACCCAAAAAAAAGTTACATTCAAAGTACTTTATTGCTTCCATGTAGGGATGTAACGATTCACTCAACTCAGGATTCGATTCACGATTTTTTTTAAACAAAATGAGATTTAAGACTTTATTCAAGATTTAAATTATAAATTAAATGTGTCCTTTTACTATTGCTTGGACAAAATGCTGCACGTTTCTTTGTGAAATTGAAATATAACACTATAATAATACACTAATATAGCACTTGCATATTATTGCTCTTTTGTTGGTTGTCTTTTTTGTTTGATTGCTTCTATTGTCCTCATTTGTAAGTCGCTTTTGGATAAAAGCGTCTGCTAAATAACAAAATTTAAATATAATGTAAATAACAAAACTAAAGTGAAATTTTAAAACAAGCCCCAAATCAAATAAATAAGTATGTTAACACAAATAAAAGAGATCTCGTCATATAAAGAAACTGAGGCTTTGTCTGTGCTCTTTACATTTAAAATTAGAGGCAACCACTGCATTTTAATCTTGATTCAAACAAAGATGCTGCATACATGCAACACGAGCAGTTTTTAATCTACATTAGATTGTATAATTTTGAAATTTGAAGCAAAAACAGAATGATTTGACTTAGTTTAGTCAAAGACTTAGACTTAGTATAGTTTTGTGAAACTATACATAAAAAATATCTGCATGAAATTTTGGATAAAAGCGTCTGCTAAATAACAAAATTTAAATATAATGTAAATAACAAAACTAAAGTGAAATTTTAAAACAAGCCCCAAATCAAATAAATAAGTATGTTAACACAAATAAAAGAGATCTCGTCATATAAACAAACTAAGGCTTTATCTGTGCTCTTTACATTTAATATTAGAGGCAACCACTGCATTTTAATCACGATCCAAACAAAGATGCTGCATACATGCAACACGAGCAGTTTTTAATCTACATTAGATTGTATAATTTTGAAATTTGAAGCAAAAACAGAATGATTTGACTTCAGTTTTGTGAAACTATGCATAAAAAAATATCTGCATGAAACCGAAACAGCCGACGAGCTGAACGAGACGCAGATGCACTCTCTGCCAGCAGGTGGCGCTTAAACCCTTTCCTTGGTTTCTGCTGTAAACAAAGCAGCGCTGCACTTATGAGCTTTAATATGCATTATACAGAGGCAAGAGGAAAATAATACAATCTAAACTTTTCTGAAGACAGTAAGTTCGCCTCAGACATGCATTCATATAAACTCCTACCTCTAAATGAATCGTGATTTGTTTAGCATCTCAACCGATTTGAATCCTCACATATTTGAATCGATTTTCAACCGGCTCGCGGTTAATCGCTACATCCCTACTTCCATGTAAAACAAAACATTTCACAGAAACTCAGAGGGGCATACGACGAAAGTGAATGAGGTCCGACACTTATCAAAAAGCACTATAAAAGACATACTCCACTGTTTTCAATGGTGACACTTGTTTGGTGGTCACTCAGACGACAGAACTGTAAATCACTAGCAGATGACGCGAGCAACACGCAGTACCTGTGCGGAGAGGAGAAAGAGCCGCAGGACTTCATGGCTAAAGTGGGATCAGCCAGATCCAGCTCGAAGATCTCCAGAGATGCACTGGTGCTGAAGGTGGCATCGAGCTGCTGGGCCGACGTACCTGAACACATTCACCAATGAGACGCATTAGACCAAACAGACCTTAGTCGGGGTTACGCCGTATTTCATACTTGACAGGATCGAAAACGAGGCCGTACAGTGATTTCAGTGGGCTGTCTATCTTTCTGAACAAAAAAAACCTCCATAAAACAGTTTGGAAGTAAGTTGTTAAATTGACAGTCTATAAATTAAAGCATTAAGCCCCAAGAAGCCGTGGTTATACGCAGTACGGTTTCACAGAATAAAGCAGAGCAAATAAAGTGTAATGATATTAATAAACACAGTATTCTTCCACCAAACAATGTAGCTCCTCAGAAACAGTTGTGGTTGCTACAAAGTGGCTGCCGAACAACACACAGAAGGCGGCTCAGCCAATCAGAATCAAGCACCGGAACGCTCCGCTTTATAAGCTGTAGGTCAGCCTGGTTTTCATCCGTGTCAGTATGGCGTCTAACCTGACTAAGGTCTATAATTAAGACTTTTTCCCAGATTTTCGACCAATGACGTTTCCAGTTGCTTGTGATTACTGCTAAGGGATTTTTAAGAATGAAATTCAAACGGATTCGCTAATGAATCATTCAGACGGATTTGCGAAGCGGTTCGACAAACTCATTGAAAAGAACGGACCACAAAAACAAAACAAAACAACAACGGTCGTCAATATAACGTGAGCAAGTTCTACTCTACACAAGAGCAATATCATAATGTTCAAACTGAAAAGTAAACTTGCACTATTAATAAACATGAAAGCATTATACTAAACCAATGCGCCCCAAGAAGCCGTGGTTCACAGTGAATTTATAACAGCTAAGGGGCGTAAGGCACGACACGAAGCTGTTATAAATCTACTGTAAACCACGGCTTCACGGGGCTTACTGCTTTTATAAAACGGTTATTCCATATACGTAGTAAGGTTTCACAAAATAAAACCGAGCAAACAATGTAGCTCCTCAGAATCAGTTGTGGTTGCTACAAAGTGTTTGCCGAACAGCACACAGAAGTAAACAAAGGTGTGTGTTTGTAGAGTATTTTACAACAGCTTCGAGCGTGGCTCAGCCAATCAGAATCAAGCACCGGAACGCTCCGCTTTATAACAAATGACAGATTATTCATTATTAATCATATTTTCAAACTCATATCCGACTGTTCATTAAGCGCTAACCTGTTAAACCCCTGGTGCTCCGGTTCTCTGGTTAGGTCGAGATCAGGTGAAACAGAGACGGGTAGTTACCTGCGGCCAGACAGATGGGGTGCTGCTGCGCTGGACTCCAGGCCTGCATAGCTGTCCGGTTTACCTCCTTCAGCTTCATCCTGTGATTAAAGCACCACACGATTGCCCGTGCTATGAGGATGCAGTACATGTCACATCGACAGTCAATGAGCAAGCTGTTCAGGCAGGTCCCGGTAACACAGCTTTGTTCTGCTTAGCAGAGTATAACTCAATGCCAACTGACATCTCCTAAATATAATGCAATTATACACTAACTACTCGCTAACACTTTATTCTGAGGTGTCCTTGTTACATGTGCTTACTATTATAATAACAATAAATGATGCATAATTACATGCAAGTAAGCCTAACCCCAATCAAGCACATTTAGCTCATTAACATCACTCAGTGCTTAAATGTGTAATTGCACTGCAACAAGGACAGCCTCAAATATGATTCCTATGCCAATAAAAACAGAACAAGTGTAACAATAGTGTAACAGCAGCTGGGAACAATAAACATCATCTCGCTGCTCAGTAATACCCTCAGCTCTACAGTTTGCAAGATATTGGACAGTGAGTGTTCAGGATAACTTAAATTAGACATTCATAATAAAGCAAGAAGAGGCTAGGTGTTCGCAGCAGACATGTTTCAGTGAATGAGATGTGCAGTAATGTGCCTTTACACAGATTATCCAGCAGCAGCGATGCAGAGCGACTGTGTTAGCTTGAAAGTGTTTACCTGCTCTTGCGGTCACGCACACACACACACACACAGACGCGAGCGCGAGAGTGAATCAGCGGGGTCGCTTTAAGAGATCTGTGGGGTTGTGTGAGGTTTGTCTGCAGACGGACGGAGCTCCACGTCCCCACTGCTCTGCTGTCCATCAACGTGGCACAACAAGCCCCGCCCACCGACGCGGCGACTTCCGGCAGCGACTCCTCCCCTTCCGGCGGAAGAGCTAGCTGTGTGTTGTCGGGTAAGTGTGTGTGTTTTGGTTTTTGTGGCACTCATATTTCTTTACAGTCGGTGTTATTATAATATCAGTACCAGTACCAGTACAGTGGTGGTATTAAATGTTAGCGCCATAGTACTGAGTGATTAGCATATTTATTTACCGTGGATATCTGAACGATACTCGCGGTGCTTTATAGGTGGCTGAATATATTTTAGTTGTTGTTGTTGTTGCTGTTGCTGCTGTTGCTGTTGCTGCTGTTGCTGCTGTTGTTGTTGTTGCTGCTGT